GAAAGCCTTAATAGACTCTGGCTGCACCCGCTGCCTCATTAGCCCCACACTAGTGGGGAATCTGGGCATCCCATCGAGGAGACTGGAACAACCAATCTCATTTGGCCAGTTAGATGGATCCATAGCAGGGGGGATGCCAGCTACCCTAGCTACTCTACCAATACACCTCTCCCTGGGCAAACATGAAGAGGACATAACATTTGTGGTGACTCCAGGCATGGAATGCCCAATGATTCTAGGCATGGAATGGTTGAAAAAATGGAACCCCTGGGTAAATTGGAGGATGACAGAAATCAAATTCCCGAAGGGGGACCCTATGGACTTAAAATCCCAAGGGAGGCTACCAGAATCAAGAATAGAAAAAGCATCCATAGGAGAGGAAAAAAGATTAACAGAAATACCAGAGGAATATAGAGACCTTGCTGAAGTTTTCAGTGAGGAGAGGGTGAATGAGCTCCCCCCCCCACTGACCCACAGACTGTACCATTGAATTCAAGCCTGGGGCAAAACTCCCGAAGCCCAGATTATACTCCATGAGCCCAAAGGAGAAGGAGGAAATGGAAAGATTCATTAAAAAAAACCTAGAGAGAGGTTTCATTGAGCCAGCCAAGCCTAAAGTGGCTGCCCCGGTCCTTTTTAGAGAGAAGAAGGATGGCTCTTTACGTTTATGCGTGGATTATAGGGCCCTGAATACAATCAGTGAAAGCAACTATACCCTCTACCCCTCATGAAAGACATGCTGTCACACCTATCGAAAGGGAAAATTTTTTCTAAACTAGACCTAAGTGAAGCTTACTATCGCGTGAGAATTAAGGAAGGGGACGAATGGAAGACTGCATTTAACTCCCCATGGGGTGCTATCAATTCAAAGTCTTGCCATTTGGATTACAAGGGGGCCCTGCAGTCTTTATGCAATTAATCAATGACGTTCTAAGGGACCACCTGTTTAAGGGGGTCCTTGTTTACTTGGACGACATTCTTATTTTCACCGAAACAAAAGAGGAACATGTCAACCTTGTCAGAGCGGTTTTAAAGAAGCTGCGAGCCGCCCACCTATATGCCAAACTCTCAAAATGCGAATTCCACCAGGAAAGGATAGACTACCTAGGTTATCGCATATCCCCCCAGGGCATTGAAATGGACCCAGAGAAGGTCAAAGCAGTATTAGATTGGGCACCACCCCGCACAAGAAAGCAACTACAAAGTTTCCTGGGCTTTGCAAACTTTTACCGCCAATTCATCCCCTCATTTGCCCAGATAGCCTTGCCCCTCACTAACTTACTAAAAATGAAGGGAGCATCCTCAGTAAAACCTAGCCAGCCACTAACATGGACAATGGAGTGCCAAGCAGCGTTTGAGAGACTAAAGAGACTTTTTTCTGCTGAACCAGTACTAAGGCACCCAGAGATGGACAAGCCCTTCGTAATACAGGCAGATGCAAGTGATGTGGCAGTGGGGGCTGTTCTATTACAAGAAAATGATGATGGAGTATTGCAACCCTGTGCATATACATCCAAGAAACTCACGGAAACAGAACAGCGCTGGACTGTATGGGAGAAGGAGGCTTATGGGATACGTTGGGCATTACTTACGTGGCGACAGTTCCTGGAAGGCAACAAAATCCCCTTCCAGGTGTGGACTGATCACAAAAATTTGGAAGCCCTGAAAACATCCAGGAAACTCAATCCCAAACAAGCCTGCTGGTCCCAGTATTTTCACCAGTTCCAATTTAAGCTCAAACATTTACCAGGAAGAAAGAACTTCTTTCTTGTAAAAACTTTACATTTAATTAAACAGCAATTTTGGTGGCCATCCATGAAAAAGGACATAGAAAGTTATATAGCCAGTTGTCCAAAATGTGCCACTGCAAAGAGGTTGCATGGGAAATCGCCAGGACTATTGCAAACCATGGCAAGTCCCTCAGCCCCCTGGAGAGAAATAGCCATGGATTTTATAGTGGAATTGCCAGAAAGCAATGGGAATACTGTGGTCTGGATGGTCACGGACTTGTTTTCCAAACAGGTGCACTTTATCCCTTGCCAAAAGATTCCCACTGCAAAAGCCTTAGCAAAACTTTTCATCCAGCACATTTACAGATTGCATGGGGCACCCCAACGCATCATCTCTGACGGGGGTGCAATTTACGTCTGCATTTTGGAAGGAATTTTTATCCCTCTTAGGAACCACTCAGGGACTGACATCTAGCCACCACCCACAAGGAAATGGGGGGGCTGTAAAAATGAACTCCGTACTTAAGCAATATTTAAGATGTTTTCTTAGTTTCCAGCAGACCTTCTCCCTTTTGCAGAAGTTGCCTACAATATTGCAGTCCACTCCAGCACAGGTTACACTCCTTTTCAAATAGCCACTGGTCAAAGTTTCAACCCCATGCCAGAGTTAACCCCAAACGAACCAACGGTCCCTTCACTGAAAGAATGGAAAAACTACAAAACACCTGGCCAATAGTTAGAAAAGCACTAGATGAAGGTAGGCAGGCATACAAAGCACAAGGCAATATAAAAAGGGTTGAGCCTACACCATTCACTATAGGAGAAATGGTGTACTTATCTACAAAATACCTAAAGTCCCTACAGCCCTGTAAAAAACTTGGACCAAAATATATAGGACCTTTTCCAATTAAAAGAATCATAAATCCAGTAACAGTAGAATTAGAATTACCCAAAAATCTCAGGCAAATACACCCAATTTTTCATTGCAGCTTGCTGAAAAGAGAGCATCAGTCACCTCTACGGCCAAAAATCCCCCCCCCACCACCTCCAATCATGGTGGAGGGCGAACAACACTTCGAAATAAAGGAATCCTTGACTCTAGGAGATATCATGGAGCAACTCAGTACCTAGTTGCCTGGAAACACCTCCCTCCCTCACAAAACGAGTGGGTCCATAAACGTCATGTCAGAGCCCCGAAGCTATTGAAGAAGTTTCACACAGAGTATCCTAACAAGCCTGACTAACTTTTATACCTGTTTTGTTTTCTTTCAGGTGGATCTCTCTTATTTTTAAGGGGGGGCGGATGTCAGAATCCAATTATACTTCATCTCCAGTTATCAATTATAGAAAACCCCATTTCTGCCCTCTCTGGATTCTGTCATAAAGAAAGAGAGGGGGGTGAACAAAGGGGCTTTATGGCCCTCACTTCCTTCGGTACAACTTCAAAGGGTTTGAATGTGGATAGCACCAAAAGGCCTTATCATAACAAAGGAGGCTATTTACCTTTCATGTAGTTTATCTGAAGTCTCCATCCAGCCGGCAGAAAGGAAAAAAGGGGTGGGATTGTGATGCCTGAAACTGTCACTGGAAGAGGGGGGTGATTGGGTGGGACTACTGGGGAACCCCTTAAAACCTCGAATGGGAGAGCTTGAACCCCAATTCCTGTCTAGAACGCCTGCAACCATTTTCTCTTAATAAAGGATTCCTGTTGGAAGAATTATTCCAAGAGTTCTGTCTTCTTAAGATGCAAAGTGGGGTGGGTCCTTACATACCTTCTCTGTTCTAGGCAATTATGCCTATTTTTTTTGTCCTATATTTTGCAGATCACAATAGCATCAGTTCCTTTTTCCAAGAGTCTGCTGTGTGATTGCCTTTCGCAGTCCGCAGTCTACTGTTGTTTGCGTTCCCCAGTCTACTGCCATTCGCTGTCCCTGATCTACTGTTGTTCGCAGTCCCGGGTCTACTGCCGTTCTCAGTCTTGGGTCTACTGCTGTTCGCATCCGAGGTCTACTGCTGTTCACAGTCTCTCCAGACTACTGTTTTTTGCAGTGCCCGATCTACTGCTGTTCGCAATCCCTGGTCTACTGGCCTTTGCATTCCCCAGTCTATTGCTGTTCGCTGTCCCCAATCTACTATTGTTCGCAGTCCCAGGTCTACTGCTGTTCGCAGTCCCCGGTCTACGGCCATTCGCAGTCCCCGATCTACTGTCGTTTACAATCTCTGGTCTACTGTCGTTCACAGTCCTTGGTTTACTGCTGTTTGCAGTCCCTGATCTACTGTCGTTCGCAGTCCTTGGTCATGTCATTCGCAGTCTCTGGTCTATTGTCGTTCGCAGTCCCTGGTCTACTGTTGTTCACAGTTCCCGGTATACTGTGCTGCAGTGTTCTCCCACCCCCACCAATACCTCCGCAGCCACGTGGCTCCTGTTTGCTGGTCCATCGTGCTGGTGTTCTGCTTCCTTCAGCAAATGGGGCTGCCTAGGTGGTCCATTGTAAGCTCTCCTCTCCCTGGCTGGATCACCTGCCTGCTCCACTATCTCGCCGGCTCGCCTCTTCTCTCTGCCGGTTGTTGCGCTGCCCTCAGTCAGCTCTCTGCCCCATAGCTGATTCTCCTCTCTGCTCCGCAGATCTTCTCCTTTTCTCTTCTCCAGTCTTTTTGATTTTTCTGATTTATCTCTCCCTCTCCCTCTCGTCCTACTGTTTTGTCTTAATTTAAGATAACTTAGTTTAATAGCAACTTCTCTCCCCATGATGTAACCATACTTCTTCTGTGGGCGCCTTGTGTTTGAAATGATTATTTTAGAAATGTGATTAAGATCATCTCTTTATTTCATCATTTTATAAATTATTTTTCATCTATTATTTGATGAGATTGTATGGAGTAGCATAAAATGAATACGGTCCTTCCAACTGCATAAGCGATGAAGATAAAATTTTGGTTTAAGGAAGGAAAGGCAATTTTTATCTGTTTCCTTTTTTCTCAGAAGAAAACTTTTTAGGCAGCAGTCAACTGGCAAGGACAAAAATAATGAATTGAAAACACTCATTTTACTTCTCCCTGGTCCATTCTATGCTTTACAGAATGGTAAACATTCTGATAATATACCAAGACATGAATAGCTACAAATGAACCAAGAGTTGGAAGGAGGTAAAGTTAATTCAGCCCACACATTTGGTATCACTGTTATTATATTTTTTCATTCAACATTTTTAAAAATTATCTGTCAATTCTGAAGTCCAATTTATATTGTGTTTTTATTTTATCTTTCAGATTATGGCGCAAATGCAAGGCTTCGGGAGAAAGTATATTAAAGCCTTTTTGAAAGGTTTTTTTGTTGCTGTTCCTGTGACTGTCACTTTCCTTGATAGAGTGGCTTGTATAGCGAGAGTAGAAGGGGCTTCAATGCAGGTAAAAAGGATCTTTTCTGCTGTGTTCATTTTTAGGTATGAAGGCCTGAATTAGAACTAAGAGGCATTTGGAGAAATATAAAAGTACTTCAATTTTATTGAATATGATTTTGAAACATGCCCCTCAGTATCTTTGAGTTGCATTCTAAATAAAGACATTTAAGGACAGTGTTATTGATAAATCAAGAAATGTATATAAATAAATGGTTCAAGTGAGTGTTAGAAGATTTCACCGTTTTATATTTACACTGACCTTTTTTTACAAATGTGTATAAGTTTTGATCAAAGACATTTGTGATGGTTCTGGGAAATGTTGAAGAGAAATCTAGTGTAAGACTTTCATGGAAATAATGTGGCACTTTGCGTGAGTGTGAATTCTGGTTTGAAAGGACTGCATTATTTCCCTTGCCGCATGTAAGGGAGTCTTTATGGAAAAGGCCATTTGGAGCAGGTCAGTTGCACTGATATATTAAACTCTTTTTATGACCCTGTAACCCCTTAATTCAGGGTAGACTTGGGGCGACTGGATGGAGTGTTTACTGGCTGGATGCCCTTCCTGATGCCATACAGCAGGAGTTTGCAGCAGATATTTTTTCTTTGCACTCTAGGAGAAAAGCATCTACCTCAACCTTCCAGGTGGGAGATGAGTGCCTTCAGCACTAGGCCTCCATGCCACTCAATTGCACTCATTCATTACGGGGTTTTTAAAATAAATATTTTATTAGATTTTATGCAGGTAGGGAAAGGATAGAGTCAGTACGGGTATGGGAAGGGGTGGGAATAAGGGATTCGGGATAGGGTAAGGCAGTGGTGACGAACCTATGGCATGGGTGCCAGAGGTGGCACTCAGAGCCCTCTCTGTGGACATGCGCGCCATTGCCCCAGTCCTAGGCCTTCAGCTGGGTTTTATAAAACCTTTTCCCTTTAGGCCTCCACTGCCATGTGCAAAAAAAAAAAAAGGTTCAATCAGTCAATTTCAACTTCTAGCGGGAAAAAAAGGTCTTGCAAAGTTGGAATTGATTGATTGAACTTTTTAGTCCCACGTAGTCTGCCGTTACCACCACAGCCACACTCACCCAATGGGCCACACCCTTCCAATTGGCCACACCCAGCCAATGGGCCACACTCACCCGGCACCCGACAATGCGTGTGGGTTTTGGGTTGCAGTTTGGGCACTCAGTCTATAAAAGGTAGTCTATAAAAGGTTCACCATCACTGGCCTAGATATAAAAAGATGTTAAGATTTATGTTTCAGAAACAGTTTTGTTGACAAAAAGCAATACAGAAATAACTTGCAAAATAAAAATACAATTTTTGGAGGGTTATCAATAATTTCAGATACTTCAACATTTGCTTATTGTGGTTGGTTTTTGTTATGTCTAGAAAAAAGAAAATAATTCTAATATTTCTTAATAAAATTTTGAGAAGTTATTTTTATTGCCAATCTCAACTAACATTTGATTTGTTTTTTATACTGATGAGCTGTTTATGTAATAAATGGATGCTTCTAACCTCTTGCCATGGAATCATAATTTTTTTGTAGCTGCATCCATAATTTCTTATCGACATGAAGGTTGCGAAATGGAAATGTATAGTTCTTTTATGTAGAAGATGTCATTTTATGTAATAAATATAATTCTCCAGCATGACAGATGGAGAATCCACGAGTGGGTTGTCTTAATCCTCCTGCTCAAATTAGACTAAGTCTGGAAAGTTGCCACGCCTCCTGCTGGGCTAGAGCACCCCAGTTTACAACTTAGTCTCTTGCTCAACAGACGCGTAAAATTGTGCTCCTTTCCAGAATTAGCAGCAGGTTGTATTCTTCCCACTTGTGGATTTTCCTTCTTCATTACTTATTTTGGACATAACTTGATTTAATCTGGCTTACTTTCTCTTTCAAATTGAACTGGTCAATTTCACCTTGTGCTGAAGGGAATTTCTACAGACTTCAGGGTTTCCCTGCAGACTGCAGTCTCCTGACCTTCGAGGACAGCTTGCCTCCATGCGAGCCTTCCGAGCCTCTCAAATTGCACCAGCTGTTTAATTTTTTTTTTTAAATTGAAAATTTTTATTTTTTAAAACATACAATCATTTATAAAAATACAATAAAATTTTAAAATAGGGAAAACCCCCCCTTACCCTCCCTCCCACCCCCACCCCCCCTCCCTTCACTTCCCAGAGCAGAATACAGGGTTAAAAAAGAAGAAAATTATAATAATTAAGAAAAAAGAAAAAAAAAGAGAGAAAAAAAAATATCATAATTAACCTTTAACTCCATAACCTATAAAACAATTCTCTATAATATTTGATATTCATTCATAAAATAAATAAAACTTTTTAATTCCATACTTTTTCTGAATATAATCTATCCACCTTCCCCATACAGTAATATATCTTTCTTGTGTATGATCCTTTAAATAAGCAGAAATTTTTGCCATTTCTGCAAAACTAGATACTTTAAATATCCATTCTTCTAAAGTAGGCAAAGAATCTTTCTTCCAATATAAACCTACTAGTAACCTTGCTGCAGTTAATAAATTCAACATCAAAGTAGTTTCTTTTTCATTTAAGTCAACAAAAATACCAAGTAAAAATAGTTGAGGAGTAAACTTTATCTTTTTTCTAAAAATCTTTTGAATGTTCCACCAAATCATAATCCAAAAAGCCTTTACTTTTTTACAATTCCACCAAATATGAAAGTATGTCGCATCATTATTGCCACATCTCCAACATTTGGGCTGTATGTTGGAATACATACAAGATAATTTTTTAGGATCTAAGTGCCATCTATAAAACATTTTATAAAAATTTTCTCTCAAATTTTGAGCTTGTGTAAATTTAACATTTCTTATCCAAATTGTCTCCCATAAATCCAATGAGATCGGCTCCTGTATATTCTGAGCCCATTTAATCATACAGTCTTTAACCAATTCTGTTTCCGAATCTAACTCTAATAAAACATTATATATTCTTTTTATATGAGCCGGACCTTGGTTTTTAATCTGAATAACCAATTGTCTATCTTCTAGTGTTATTCCCTCTTTCTTGTCTACAGTCCATCTGTCCATTATTTGTAAATATTGAAACCATGACTGTAGAATATTTTGCTGCCTTAATACATCTAGGGATTTCAAATGCCAATTCGAACCAGAACAAATTAACAATTCTTTGTATGAGATTTTATCAAAATTTGTCCCCTTAGAGCAGTGGTTCTCAACCTGTGGGTCGGGACCCCATTTGGGGTCGAATGACCATTTCATGGGGGTCGCCAAACAAGACTGTCCGCCATTTTTCCCCCTTTTCTTTGGTCACGCCCCTGGCACCCGGTGTTATATAAGTGGTTGGGGGTCACCACAACATGGGGAACTGTATTATGGGGTCGCGGCATTAGAAAGGTTGAGAACCACTGCCTTAGAGGTTCCCTCAATTGCATGTCTGGGAATCCCCCAGATAGGTATTTTATAATTTAATCTATAATAATACTTCTTCCAAACACGAAGTAAGGCATTCCTCAAAATATGTGATTTAAAAGTCCGATCAACTTTCTTATTAAAAATTAAATATGCATGCCAACCGTATATTAAATCCCAACCTTCCAAAAAAAGAATATCCATATTTGTTAAATTAAGCCAATCACTTAACCAAGTTAGGGCGGCTGCATCATAATATAATTTCAAATTAGGTGCCTTAAGTCCCCCTCTTTCTCGAGCATCCTGTAATATCTTAAATTTAACCCTTGGTTTCTTCCCGGCCCATATAAAATTATTGATACCCTTTTGCCATTCCTCCAAATTTGCCTCTTTTTTAAGAATAGGTATCATCTGAAACAAAAAAAGAAACTTTGGTAGAACATTCATTTTTACAGCTGAAATTCTCCCCAACAATGACAATTGCAATTTTTTCCAATCTCTTAAATCCTTTTGGACTTTTGCCCATAATGGTTCGTAATTGTTCTTATACAATTTTCCATTTGAAGCAGTTAGATATACTCCCAAGTATTTAACCTTTTTTACCATCTGAAAACCTGTGGCTTTAATCAAACTTTCCCTTTCTTTAACTGACATATTCTTAGATAATATCTTAGTCTTATAATTATTAACTTTAAAACCAGAAACATTCCCATACTGTGTTATAAGTTCTAATAAACCATCAATCGCCTGATTCGGCTGTTCCAAAATTAAAACCAAATCATCCGCAAATGCCCGCAATTTATACTCATTCTTCCTTATCTTTACACCCTTAATTAACTTCGATTCCCGAATCTGAGTCAATAAAATTTCCAATGTTAAAACAAATAACAATGGGGATAATGGACATCCTTGTCTTGTCCCTTTTTGAATATTAAAATTCTCAGTCAATCCCCCATTTACAACAATTTGTGCAGATTGCTGCTGATATATAGCTTTAAGTGCATGTAAAAAATTATCCCCAAAATTCATTTTCTCTACCAAAGAAAATAAAAATTGCCAGTCCAATTGATCAAAAGCTTTTTCAGCATCCAAAAAGATAAAAGCCACAGGAATCTGATTATTCTTATCCAAGTACTCAATTAAGTTGATAATTTGTCTGACATTATGTTTCATATATCTCCCTGTTATAAATCCTGCTTGGTCACTATGAATCAAATCTTTCATGACCTGCATTAATCTATTTGCCAAAATTTTTGTAAAAATCTTATAATCAACATTCAATAATGAAATTGGCCTATAATTCTTAGGCTCTGTAAGATCCTGATCTTCCTTCGGAATCAGTGATATAAAGGCTCTTTTCCAAGAAGGAGGAACTTGCATACCCAACAAAATACTATTAAAGAGTTCCTTTAACGGCTCTATCATTTCTTCAGATAAGATCTTATAATACCTAGAAGTCAGTCCATCTGTTCCAGGAGACTTTCCAACCTTTAACTGCTTAATAGCTAAACCAATTTCCTCCACAGTAATTAAACTATTCATCCCATTTTGTTGTTCCTCTGAAAGTCTAGGAAAATGTACTGATTGTAAA